TGGTAAGTAACATAACCTCTACGTGTGATTAGAGAATTACCGTGGACGCAGCCATGTTGGTTCTATTCGAACAATTTTATCTTCACCGCCAAAAATAGCGTTTATTCAAATATTATTAAATAATATTATTTTTTAACTTAAATAAAATATGTCAATTGGTCTAGCAGTAACTAAATGCAAGATTAAATAAAATTACAATGTCATAACAAATATCAATCATTCTCCTGTTTAGGACGCAGGTGATCTGACAGATGCACGTAAAATCTAATTCTAAAATATTCTAATTCTAATTCAATTCTTTTTAAATTCATAATTGTTCATTCTTTATATTTAAATTAGTAATTATATAGTTTATATGTCCCGTAAACATACCTATGTATTATATTTTGTATTAATTTTATCATAATTAAAAACAATTTCATACATTTATACAGTCTTTTCGTAAAAATTAGTACTGCAGCATAGATTATAAGTTACTGCATTTGCCAGATACACCGCGACCGCTGAAGGAATTTCTACGACAGCGAACTCCACAAGGTTAAGTGCAAACAAATATTATAATTTACAAGTTTGTGTTAAACAAAGTCGAATATTTGATAAGAATGTATATTCTTGCACAGGTAGTGAATCTGATTAGATAAATATTCCAATGTTTAAGTTTTGCGTTTCGTATAAATTTATATTTCGACAAACATTAAAAAAAATCATATATATCAGTTTCTCAGGAAGTAAACACATGTGTGTATATATATATACATACACATTTCTTCATATACTGTCAACATTTTAAACTAGAGAAATACAAAACAAGACTACATAGATCAAGTGATATCTTAAACATTATATAATTTTTAATAATTGATGAAATAGTTAAATGCACTAGAGGTATAAATACATAGTATCGTTTATAGGTTATAACAGCTTGAGCGATAGAAATAAAAGAAAAAAGTACGCCATGCCGCTCATTCGAAGGATTGAAGCGATTGAGGTGAGACAGCCGTGTAAAATCTTTAATGGCATTGTCCAGACACCGGCGCAGATGGGAGCTGTTTTGAAGTAATTAACCCTGTTAACCCAAGGCTCTGAGGTTCGCACGGACAGCGCTTTAAGCTCACGCACCGCGCATATGCACGTATATATATATATAGATACGTAAGTCGTGACAGCACGGTCAATCGGCCAATACCAATTCTCTCTTAATTTATTACAATCTTCTATTATTATCACTATAGTCACACAACTACAAGTAAAAATTTTTCCTCAAGGATCAACATCCTTAGGAATTCACACTACTTGCGAAAGAATTACATGTACAATCCAAGATTAATGAATGGAAAACCCGATAGTGGCGTGGAAAGACGAATTTTTTAATCACGTGTTACATTGAAATTCGATTAATCGATCGATTATCTCATTCAGGCAATTGATTACGTAGCCATAGTATGGCTTTGATGATAATTGAATAAATCCGTTGATAAATTTAAATTAACACATGACACCCACATGGATCGTTTTATCGAGGACCACAACTTTTTGTAATAATCATGGAAGAGACCTATTCCAACGGTAGAAATTTAAAAATTGTTTGTTTGTAATCAAACATAAATTTTTTTAAGGCGCAAGGTATATCTGCTTGTGTATTAAATACATACAGAGCAAATAGATAAGGAGTACTATCTAAAATAACTTGTTACCTATTGACGAAAAACGTTGTAAATGAATTATGTTGTATATCATGGCTTATAAAATGGATGCAATTTTATTTTCTAGTATCTTATATTTTCTGAAAAGACCATGTATCAAGATTACTACGAATTTTTTAAATGTCACGTTATATTTTTTATAACATCAATTGATCCTACTGGATATTCTTTATAAAAAAGCATTAATCTATTTATAGCGCAAAATTATTGGTTTAGCAAATAGATGTTTTTTACAGATAATGACCAGCTGGGTTGACTAATGTTCTAAAAAATATACGGTGCCATTTAAAAATATAATAGATAAAAAAATGAGATATAAAAAAATGAAATTGCATCTATCCGATGAGTCTCTGAAAATGCAACATAATTCATTTAAAATGATATTCGATAAGACTAATAATTAACTGGTTATTTTATATCGTATGTACTTCTTATTGACTCATTTTGTATGTAGTACTAGTACTTACAAATTGTATAAGTAACACATTGAACGAACTCCTGACTATTGAGTTAAGAACAAGACTGAAGCTCCTTTAATTCAAGCGAAGTCAAGTTCGATTTCTTGATATTGACATTTGACAAAATATTTCGTTATCACTGCGGCACTTTATGAAACCGATCTTATCAATATTGGTAACGATCTATGGTATATATACATATATGTGATATATATCACATTTTCAGATTAAACATTTAAAATTCAAAATTTTCAAAGGGATCAAACTCTAAAAAAACAAATAACATATTTCGAGTAACAATAATTTTCTTTATATAGTGAAGCAAAGAGGAATTCTGTTTTAAAATGAAAGAAAAAGGAAGAATATAAACAGATCACGAACCGAGTTGTTGACCAGGCACACGAAGAGGGAGGTAGACTTTAGCTGTTGAGGGCTATGAACAACGTATTCTTCGATCAAGTCGATCCTCGACCACCATGAACACACGATCTGCCTGCACGATAGAACGCCTGACCCGTCACTGACCAGTCTCCTGTCCAGTCTGGTCAAAACCCTATAGCCATGAGTGAAATCAATCCAATCCGTACATTACCCTTTCCCTTCCTCCACCCTTTGTTAACTATGTATTTAAACCGCCCCTGGACGACCAGCTTCACTGCACACATTCACAGAACGTACGGTCTTTCGTTCAACTATCACGGTTGATAGCTTTTATTTCGAGGACATCCGTGGAATCGAATCCTTTTCACTTCATTATTTTGGCCAAATATATATAGCTCATTTATAATTTCAAGTTAAATAATTAAAACTTTATATTCGAATCATCAATGACATTCGTCAAAAGGTTTGGAACGTAATAACTATATATGCTTACCAGATATTGAAGCACATGTTATCTTTCATATACTCTTGCAAGTATGTATTATTTGTAAAACACTCATTTATAACACTTTACTCAAAAAATTAAGGAAGAAGGAAGAAGCGTCTTTCAGAGCATGCTGAAGAACATGTGAATTAGTATACAAGCCATAAACCCATTTAAAGATCGGGTTCTGTTTCGGTAACTTACAAAAACAAAAGGAATGTTGATCTTGAGTAGCCTGACGTCACACGAAAAGTTAGTAGATTTTATAGCTTTGGAATAACTGTACGCTGAGAAAAAGAACACAACTTGTCTCTGTGCTTGTCATCTCTATCCTTCAATTACAAAATATTACATTTTTCAGATACTGATCCTTCACTCTAAACAATCTGATCCACATATACCTAATCTTCCTGTCATTATAATATCAGAAGAAGAATTACATTCACACGCATCACCGAACAACTATAAACCTGCACAAGATCTTTGACTCATTTAATCCTCCAACTTTTCTTCTGTGAATGATCGAGAAACACGCATAGACAACACGTGTGAAAAATCTATAGCCGGTTGGAAAATCCATTACGTAGTAATGAAGATAACGCGAAGTCCTTACTATCGAATGAACGACGCGACGTAAACGTAAGAAGGAAAAAGAAACCGGAAACAAAGGAAAGAACGAGGATAAACGTTCGCACCGCATAGCGTTGCGGGTGCCGGGATCCGCAGATGTTCCTTGATCCTCCCGTCGATGCAGGAAATCTTCTCCGGCACGCCATGGTCCTCTATTTCCTCGCACTCGGGAGGCATTTGAGTCCGGCCTCCTGTTCGACGTACGCCTGGCCCGTGACTGCCCGGCAACCGGCTCCGCGTGCTTCAAATCAATATCAATCGCTATGCACCAGCTGTTCCCCCCGTGGTATACGGCACTGTGTTCCTTGCGACCACCTTTTCGACACGTTCTGATAATAATTGCCGGTGAGTTTCCTCCTTTTTATGAACGACTTACTATGTATTTACAGTACCTTCGCCTAGTGCTCCCCGGATCCTTTCTCATAAAAACACATTGATGTTGACGGAATGGAATTTTTTTTAGTAATGAATTTTTTAGAATAACTATTTTAGTATTTCCTAATTAAACATTTAAGCGAAGTTTGCTAAAAAAGACTAAAAAATATGTACTTAAAAATATCACAACAGTAAATCCATTTTCATATCTAAAATATATTTTATGTGCATATTAATGTGATATATGAATATTTAAATATGATATTAAGTAAAAATGAATATCTATTTATGAATATATGATATATGAGTGAGATATATTGAAATCGATAAAAAGATAGAAGATCGAATGAAAAAATAAAAAATTCATCAAAGATTTAAATAGTAAGAATCAATGGATAATCAGTTCGTAGAAAAATGAACTGTGCAAGCTTTCCGGCAAATATCGATCGATTCAACAAATAGTTAATACGCTAATTGCTCGTTAGCCAGCTTATGTTGCTTTTAAATACTCATATTTATTGAAAATGGCATTGTATTATGTAAGGGTTACCGAAGTGTCAATCAGCTCTATTGCGAAACCCTATGTGAAAATCAGTTAATAAAAGATGATAACTTTATTAACGCTAAAGAAGAAGATATTACTTTAATTGTACAATAATCATCTAAAAACACGCCACGCTTTGGAACTTTATTAATTTTGTTCGAGCACATGGTCTTCTATACGTCTATAAGTACTTACATGGTTGCTCTGAACCGAACGCCATTGACTCATAATGTCACGCGTTGCCTCATTCATTATAAGGAAGATTTCTCTAATTCTTTGAATGGGTTACGTCTTCCTTGTTAGTAGATATGCTTTCTCACTGTTTACAAGAATTATGAAAGTATAATGTTTTATTGCGTTCACTATAAAGATAGCTTTCTATGCTTAAAACTTTTCAACACAGGTAAATATATTAGTTTATCTACCCTGCAAGAAAAAAGGGCAGCGTGGTCAAGGTTTTACGCAAACGCAATCGTGTGGTTCGCATCGTCGTTTTGGATGTTTACGAGGGATACCGAATTAGGGCTGCGGTGGGTTCCCCGAGGTCGAATCGGTTTGTTGATTTCAACGTAGATCGTGAACCGAACAGTATGCAGTATTTCGAAGAATTGATCGATGATACGGCTCACTTTACAAATCGCTCTGTACAAACTTTATATACACAAGTCATCTATCTTATCATTTCATTATACGTATACCTCGGAGACTTTAAATAAAAAGAATTTGGAACTGAGGATATTCGAGGTAAAGAGTTAATATAAAAGAATGTAAAGTGGTAAAGTAAACGAGCGAGTGAAAGTTTTCCTAAAGTTCTTATTTAAACCGTACAGGATGGTCTACTAGGAAAAGAAGGTTGACCAAGCTGTGAGGTGATTGGTCGGCTGGAATCACCAGACTTTCGAGCACATACACAATATTCTACCGCACAACCACCGTTCAGTGGTTGCGTGTGATAAGGTATTGAATAGTCTCAGCAAGCAGCAACGATGCAGCAATTTTGCTGATTGCAAACACGTACGCGGTAGGTAGTCTTTTGAAACTTGTTAAGCGTATGACGTGGTCTTGATTCTACCTTAAATGATTGCACGCCACCGACCGGGCGTTCATTAGTGGATCGGCTACTAGATGATGATGGAGCAGTCAAGTGTGCGTGTTTTCGGCGTTATGCAACTATGCAATAGTGCGTTAAAGCATGGTCAAATTCCGGTAGATGCTTCGACGCTCCACGTCTCTTATTTATGCTGTTATATGTGAATTTCACTCTTCCCAGTTAAAAAATCTGATGAATTTGAGAAAATGAAAACGACACTCGGAATCTCTACAAGAATGTAACTCCTATACGCCTATGCATTTTTTTTATGGTTACAGAGATCTCCGGTTACCCGTGTATGCGTACGTAAGCGGTTTACGCGTATCATTAGTTACCGGTAGTAAGACGTTTTATTCGATTAATACCGTGTTTGAGGATTCGTAGGCGCTTCTTCAAACATAAATACTTTCTTTTAATTGTATTAGTAGAATCTAATATGCTTGTAATTTATTTAAAAGTAAAATTAATTTACCGTTTACTTTATAGCTTTATTATATTCAGTATTACACTATATATACGAGTATACAGAATGTTCCAATAAAACGTAAGTTGTCTGAAACATTGAATGGAACACCCTGTATATAAAATCCTAAATAAATAAAAGCAATTGATAAAATTATCAAATTTTCAGGATTTAATGGGTTGTGCTATTTCGAACACATGACCGATAAAAAGGATTTCCTATGGCTGATTAATACTCACACACGTGTAGAACAAGTATTTGGAAGCGTAGTCATGATCCTAACCGAGAGCTACAATTTTATAAATATACGGGACCACGCGAAGGAAACAACGTGGTGGAAGACCGAGTTTTGTGATTCGTTGGTTTACGAGACGACGCACCGTTCATGTACCAAAAATAAGCGAGACATCTTGCCTTTGCCGGTCTCTCGAGATTCAGAAGACTTGAAGATACTAAGATAGAGGCAAACGTGCAGCCGCTGATTCAGATTCACAAGGTATAGAAAACAAAACGGAATGATGGGTTTGCGATACCTCTTCTGCGGTTAAATCGTGGTGTAACGTGAATCTCCATCTCTCGAACAATGCGACAGAGATTCAATATCCGTTGGATCATTCTCACCATTTGCTTCCTACTATGCACCGGCTGCTTGGCTAAAGACGGGTACATGTAAGTAATGTTAATATTTATTATTCTTTCTAGATCAGGAGCGGCATTATTTTGAACAAAAAATATACATATAAATAGTAAAATGATTAATGGATCACGTTAATTGTTTCTGATTTTTTTGCAATGGTATACCGTATATCGTATATCGAAACTGACAGGGATTAGACATTGATTTTACCTGTATTATTTTTTAGTTTGACAGATCGTCATTAATTTACGTTATTTCCATTAAATATCAAAATATAAATATAAATTTAAAATCAATATCATTTTATGGTAATTCAAGGAGAAATACTTTCGCCATTCTTTAAACCAATAATTGTTATTCTAAAATGTGTATAGATTTGATGACAATGGATGTTCTATAATCTGTTTAATTATTCATTTAATGGAACAGAAATTGAGGAGTACATTCATTATTTTATCGCTTTAGAGTCACGCGATGGGCAGAGACCTTGGGCGACGAATTATGGGAACTTGCAGAAAAGGTGGCGCGACCCGAAGAGTTATTAAGCGTAAGTTTGATCTTCATTCGTGCATGCATCTATGTCCATACATAAGTTACACGCGATCGCGTGTTTCTCTCTTTCTCTGTCTGTCCATCGGTATCGGTTGATTCGTGTAACTATTTTCGTCGCGCCCCCGTACATGATTATCGTCACTTAACAGAGGTAGAGGACTTAACGGATAGAGAAGAAGAAAATAGTAAAAGAAAAAGACCGACACAAAGCACAAGGGAAACAAAGTTATTACTAATGTAACAAAAAATCAACGCAGAAAAGAAGAAAATTGGTCACACGAGATAGACGAAAGAAAAGAAAATATTTGATGAAAAAGAAGGCTCTAGTATAATATCAGGACTGCAAAATATTCGGCTAGAATTATACTTTTTAAAGATTTTTCGGCCGAAGCCGAAATGAGCCAATCGCCTGAAATGACTTTTCACGGAAATAAGTCGTAAAAAATCTCGGTCGACTCGTTGATGTATGACGACTTCGTGGATCTTGAAGATATTTTTTCAAACATTGGTACGCTTAATCCACCGTGTGGCTTATTCTGTATGCATTTGAACCATGAGTATTGGAACAGATTTCGATTATTTAGATTTGGACCATCTAGACTGTGATCATATAGAGAGCGGTAAGCACAAAATTAGAGTATTTGGAGTATTAGTATTGGCTGTGCCACCGCTTGTATTACCGCTTACCGCTCTGTATGATCATCGCCTTGCACGAATTTCTAAATGTTGGTAAAACCGAATTTTCAAAATCATTCATCTCCATGAATGGCAACTGTCATCTTCGGATTTGGCAACCTAAATACTGCCGAAAAGTCACATACAGATAAAAAATTTTGCAGTCCGGATACTATACTTTATCTAAGAAGAGAAAGTGGAAAAATACATAAATGCATTACTCGTCTGTGATAAGTAGTAACGAAGATACAATGTATCGACCTACGATAAACTAAATCGCCAAACTCTTGCACTGGTTACTTGGCCGTTAATAACTTAGTTGGTAATTTTGGTTTATAGAGAAATAATTCGTTGATGGGACAATAAATTACCCGTTACCTATATATAGCTTAGATGGCCCTGAAAAAGTAATTGAAATTATGTTATGCAAATTGAAAGTACTTGTGATCTGCGTAGGGAAAGTGTTCTGCGCTTTGAACCGCGATCTCCGTGCATAGATGCCGCCTGCGATACGTTTTGAACAATGATTATGATTGTATCTGCTGAAGCCCATTTGTTAAACAACGTAAAATACTAATGTACGAGTTGAGGATGGGAAAACATAACTCTATAAAAGCTGCTAAAAGTTAATATGTCACTAAACAAGACGTCTTTTAAAGAAAACAAAAATTTTACATTTATGATTAATATTTTTTCATTAAGAAATTTAGACGGTCTTTGCAACAAATGTTTTGTTATGAAAACGAATATAATTTTATTTTTATTTTGTACTGAATTAAACTTCAGGCGTTATGATAATTTACGATAATGCTGTGACATTGCATTCTCGCCAGATGGTTCATGGTTGTTATTAATAATTAAACTAAGCCAGGATTTGTAATATGATAGGCTATTACTTGTATCAATTATCCAAAGTGGATCGCAGGAGCTTTTAGAATTTTAGAATAGAAAAGTACCTGGTTTACACTGTGTATCGATCATTCTTGTCCTTTTATCAAAAACGAAGCATAACCATGCTTCGTTTAAATCGATCGTTTAAATCGGTAAATCGATGCATACACTATTATTATACGTATACATACGTATACATTACCATAGCGATGTATTATAAAAATATTATTATTTAACTGTAAAGTTTCTCCCTCTTTTTTCCTAAAAACTTTGTTTCGATGCGAAGGAATGAAGGACCAGGTTCATTACGTATTGTTCAAAAGAACAATACGATGAGACACGGGCGCGTACGAGTAAAAAAAGGCCGCGGTTTCGGCGCAAGAAATTAATAGTAGCATGGCGTGACGAGAGGGAAAAAGCGGTAGAATCCAGGTCGAAGAGGAGGCAAGGTATAACCGTAGTCCCGAATGAATTGCAGAAATACAAAGCGATGAACACGCGAGTGGAAAATAAGTCCGGGGAGGAGTTGGTGAACATAATCAGCGAGAACGTCGGTAGGATGCTCCGAAGGAAGATGGACGCGGTGACCTGCATCCGGATGGCGGCTGAGGAACACGCAGAAAACTGGGAGAACGATGAGGAGGAGGGGAATTTCACTTACGTGTCCGGAAAATATAGTCCAGTGAACAAGGAGTTACCAAAGATTCCATCGAATATGGAAAAAAACATCGATGCTTACAGGTTCATAGGAAATTGCTTTTATCCAATTTAGATTTCTTCTTTCTATAACTAAAGATAGCATATATCTATCTACCTTCACTTTTCACTTATACATATACTGTATATCTGAATTCAAATTCTCATTCTCAATTATTCGATGAAATATAGTTATTTAAAAATTATTAGTCAAGCTGTAAATGACTAAAGACGAATCAGCAAGTCGATTTTTCTGTGAAAGTATATCTATATCGTTTGATGATTACTGTTTATTTGAGATGAAAAATATTGTTCATGAAACGAATATAGTTATACTACGTAGTGGTGTATATGTAATAATATATAATTCGTGCGTAATATCGAAGCATTCTGAGTAGTGGTACAGAATGGAATTAGGCTGAGAAGCTTGAAACGTCTTCGGCATCGATCGTAGGTGAATGTTCGAACCACGAATTGGGTCTAACATTCTGTCTTGGTCTGAATAGTTTGACGGTCGAAGAAATTGATAGCATTTGTTCGAAACATGAAAATCAAATGAGATGAAATTCGAACATGTTTTAAGTTACAAAATACATTCGATACATTCATGATCCTCTCATTTCTCTATAAGCAACAAAAATAATTGATTCCGTATTACAAAACATAAATGTGATTGTTAAAAATATTTACAGAAAAATGCTGCTAACGCCTGATTCACACTTTTACAATATACCAGTAAATACAAGCTTTTCGTCAGTGCATATACCTACAAACGTGTACGACATGTCACCAGCGGTGATCGAGGATATAAAGAAAACCGAGATCCTTGACAATATCTTCCAACAAAACTACGAGTCAGATCCGGCTTTGTCTTGGCAATATTTCGGCTCTGTCACGGGAATGTTGAGACAATATCCTGCCATGCAGTGGAAGATGGATCCTACGCAGGACGGCAAAGGGGGAGAGGAAGAAGATGAAGAAAAGCCTGACATTTATGATTGCAGAGTACGTAGCTGGTTCATCGAGGCAGCGACTTGTAGCAAGGACATGGTAATACTGATGGATACCAGCGGCAGCATGACGGGCATGGGAAAGACTATTGGTGAATGAAATATTAGTATTTCAACCTTTTAATTGTAGGATGGAGTTAATTTAATTTAAATGAGAAATAATTTCCATGAGAATATTCTTTGTAATCGTAAGGTATGATAGAACTACGTTAACTTTGATTCAGTTTTAACATTTTTTAAGAAACTGTTTAGTTTCCCTTCAATTTATGACTCTACGTATTTCTACGTACTCGTATATGTACTTTATGCGTTAATAAAATTTGGAACTTATAACGGTCTGACGCGACCACGGAAAATGTGTTAGAATCAAAATTAGAACGCATTTGTGGTTGCTCCGTGTAAACTATGTAATGCATGTTTGGAATGCACCGCGAATCTGAGGTTACACGTGCAGTATTTAGTGAGGATAGAGTATATTGACGCAATCGTATCGCATAAATCTTCGCAAAGATTAAGTAATCTTCTCATTCTTGGTATAATATAATCACATAAAAACAATTATCTTAATGATGTGAAAACTAATATTAGTCTAATTTCCTTTCCTTCCTAGGTGAAATATTCAAGATACTTATCTCCATTCTTTCATAAATATTTTTTCAGCAAGGACAACAGTGAACGCAATATTGGATACTCTTTCAAATAATGATTTCGTGACTGTATTGAGCTATACAAACGTGACATACGATGTGGTGCCCTGCTTCAAAGACATGCTAATCCAGGCTACTCCAGAAAATGTGTACACTTTCAAGAATGCTATAGCAAATGTTAAAACAGAAGGACTCGCTAATCTAACAGAAGCATTCACTAGAGCTTTCAACCTACTAAGCACATACAGAGAAACACGCGGGTGTGGTGCAGACACATCGTGCAATCAGTTAATTATGCTTGTCACGGATGGTGTTCCTGGAAATCTGACAGAAGTAAACCAATATCTCCTTATAGAAAATTACGTTATTTATCTAAGCTGCTAATTATCTCCTCGTCTTTTTCTTTTAAAACTGTAGATCTTTTCTGGAGCACATTTAGTAAGAAAAAAGCGATTTTATCTGACGAGATAATTACGCCTAAACAGATGATTAAGACTTAATAATAATGTAAACAATTTTCTAGGGGATCTACATGTACATATATACATATATATATACTCCAACCATTTTTCTATACATCTATCTGAATGCTATTATTCATAACGTAGAGAAAGTCTCTCTAATTAATTGCTCTATCATAGAAATACGGAGCTCGCTTCTGTCTACAGACCATTTAACCTCCCACTTGTGCTTATTGTAATTCGCCCTGGCTGAGCTACGTTTCCACAAGAATTATACTATCGAGCGTAAGAACATGCTACGTTGTCGCGAAACCGCACTAAATTTAAGTAGGTCCGGTGAGCGCGATTTCCATTGGAGAAAAAGGTCGCGTTTTTAGCTCTATCCTCGACGAGTAGCTCTTCAGTTTTATGAGATCCCACTCGAATCGACGAGAATCATAGCGATCTCTGTCTTCCTATCTCTACCTCTCTTTCCTTTCCGCTCCTTTCATCTTTCTCCGGTCTTCTTCTCTTTCCTTCATCTTTTCTCCTTCTCACCATCATTTCCTCGTACTCCTTCCCTCTTTTCACGCTACTCTGTCGGTCTCTCACATTTTTCTCTCCTTCTTACTCAGTATCTACGTATATACCGATGCTCTTCACGCGACAGTGGTCGCATTTCCTTATCACTCTTTCAAGTGCTTAGAAAACGCATCATCAACGATAACGCCGCGGCACAATTGCACCACGATTACGCGAAACTTTATGGCTGTGAATATGCTGCTCCGAACGACCTTCTTATACTCTATTTCTTTTCACTATCTATTCGAACTAACTTTATTTTTCTTATTTTTATCAAGCAACATTCGAAAGGATATGATCTATATGAATTTTATTTAGGTATTCAGAACATGGAACTGGCGAGATAATGACACACACATTCCTGTACGAGTATTCACATATCTTTTGGGAAAAGAAGTTACCAAAGTTCGAGAAATTCAATGGATGGCTTGTCTAAATCGCGGCTACTATACGCATGTTCACACACTAGAAGAAGTTCGGGAACAAGTGCTGAAATACATTCCCGTGGTCGCACGACCCATGGTTCTTCAGGATGTGGTGCATCCTGTCGTTTGGACCCATGCTTATGCGGACATTACGGTGAGATAATCACCTTATACAGATAACTAATAATTGTATAATGTGTATAATCACGTTATAATTTTTAATCTTTGTCGTGTAAACAATTGATCTATAATTAATTCATAATCAAAATTACCCGACTATTAGATCATTTTAGGTGTTTGAAGAAAGTAAAACGTTTGACTATGTTAACAATCTGTACACATCGAAAAGCATCTATGGCTCTGTTTCCTCTTTGACCGTTTCACTTTGTACATAGTGTCCCCAATTCTGTAAATTTTCTGATTCACCTTCCGCTAGAATCCAGCACTCGCCACTTGGCTGTGGCTGGTGATGCAGCACAAGGAGCAACAATCACGGCTTCAGAAACTTCTGAAAGGAAAACGTCTGGGCGTTCGAATAAATGAGGACGATACCTACATACAGAAGGTTCAGAGCAAGCAACAATCATCCCTGTAGCTTTAAAGCTGCCTTATCGTGCTCGATGCGCTCTTTCCCTTGGCATTTAGTTGAATGTAGAAATAGTAGTACACCCAGCAGATAAATTTAGGCGAACCCTGCATATAATTATCATTAGCCAGGCACTTTTATTTTAATTTCCATTCGCGTTTAATCTTGCTCTTCTGTATCCCGAAAATTAATCCCATTGTAAAATGCGATTTTTTATTGACCTATTATTAAATCGTTTTGAATGGAAATAAAGTTTAGTATTTTCTTTGCATGCGATACTTTTCTTAGGAAATGTAAGTCGTAAAACATTAGTTAATGGCAAACAAGACTGCACAGCATCTATAAAATGTTTAATAGTTCTTTAGATTTTATAGCACAACCTCAAATGTCATTATTTTTTTTTTATATATATATAAGTGTGATTTTTTTACACTGATTGCATCATAGAATAACACGAAATAGAATTTAGTATACACGTAGAGGGGAAAACAAATTAAATCTATACCTATGAATTTACAAACTTACAAATAATTAAATTGTACATCTAACAGCTCCACAAGAGTGAGGACGTTCGACAGGATGCATCTCTATTGAACACGACAGCTTGGCAGGAGTACAGGCTCCTTACATCCGTCAGCACGCCAGTGTTCGACCGTAAAGGGAATCGCAACAATCGGACAAGAATAGCGAATTTACTAGGTGTAGCCGGCACGGATGTACCAATTGACGACATTCGAAAGCTTACATTGCCATACAAGCTGGGCGTGAATGGATATGCTTTCATCGTGTCCAACAACGGATATGTGATACTGCACCCAGATTTGAGACCCGTTTACAAAGGCACATTAAAGCGCAATTACAACAGCATAGATCTCACGGAAGTGGAGATCTTGGACGATGGTCGTGGCCCAAGGTAGTTTCCTTTATTTTTTGGATTTACATTTACAAAAATATAGTACGTCTGAAACATATATAATATGTTTGTTTGTATAGCGTAAAATTTAATAAAGATCTAAATTTTACACTCATTCTTTCCTAAAGAATAAAAAAGTAAAGTATATAATAATCTATTCTAAAAGCTTGGTCATGATAAATCTCCGAAGTATAGCTGTTCCTGAAAGAGGAAGATATTGCTTTCGTGCAACGCGGCAGACCTTAGAGGTTTAAGAAGAGTTTTTATTAAAAACGGGTACAGGAACCCCGGGCCAGAGGTGCTGGAACTACGAGCCGCGTTGGTGGACCACAAAAAAGGCAGCTTAAAAGGAGTACCCGTGAAATTGCATTACGACGACAACCGTCGTGTGTCTCTCGAAAGACGTGACTACTTCTACGCGCCTCTTCCTGGAACGCCCTTTGGCCTTGCGGTCGCTATACCCAACTATGGCACAACTTGGATCAAGGTAATCCTTTCAGGATATCGTGTGTACACACGCATTGCTAGAAGTTTACGGAATCCCGGAGTATCTCGGCTAGTTCCGGTGAACCCGATACCACAAACTCGGACTCGCGTTCTCGAGATTGTGGAGCAGCAGAAACTTTGAGACCTAGAGCAAGCTTAGATGGTAAACAGCAACCATCTGGGGAAACCTCTTAATGGTCGATCGAACGCGGAAAATTCCTTACAATTAATGTAACTTTGAGGTGAAGCTCGAAACTCATGGTTTAACAATCAATGGTTATATATTTTTCGCTGTTTTTAAAAAAGTTTAAAGATACATTCGATTTAAAAAAGATAATAGTTTATTTCGTTAAATAATAGCTTTTTCTTTTTCAACATATTACCGATTAGCCTTAATTCATCCTAAATCATCATATTGATAAAAAAAATTTCCTAAATTAAAAATTTTATCACACATTGTTCAAGGTTGGAGACGAAATCCGGAGGAACCAGAACTTGAAGGTGAATATCTCCGACTTCTTTATGGGCAACAACTGGCGAGTACACCCCGGTTGGGTATACTGTCGCTTTCACTATTTAGAGGGTCACGAATTCAACAGTCCCGAACAAGAGTTGAGACACTTCCTGGACCTGTTAAATAAGCCTGGCTGGCGTTGGTCTGAACAGTACGAAAATGAAACTGACCATGTTCCTAACTGTGGTAGACGGACTTTGTCACAGGATGATTATTATTGTAACAAGGAATTGATGCAGCTGTTAGTTTTCGATGCAAAAGCAACGAATGCCAGCTTCAATAGCGATTTTGTATTGGATGATCCCCGAGCGCGACAGTTAGCAGAAGATTATGGAATTTTTTTAAGATTCGTCGCCACTCAGAGTGGTTTAACTAGGTGGCATCATTTAGATACAAACAACTTACCCGAAGACGATGATGGCATCGTTTTTGGTGATCTTCACAGGAGAGCTGTAAACGAACCTTGGTATAAAGGTGCCATTTTCCAAAATATTTTAGATCCTAACAGCATATCTCTGTCAGGTGATTGGAAAAGATCATTTCTTAATAAAATTGCTTTTCTACTTTCTTAACGTTTAAATATCTATTTATCTTTTAAATTGTTTCAGTTCCTTGGGAAGCAGGAGTAAATGCTACAGTAACAGCTTCGATTGGAATATTCCCTAAAGACGACCGCAAAACTGCACCAGCAGCAGTAATCGGTTTTCAAATGCCAATGAAGGATCTTTATAAGAAATTTATTAATCTAACTTCCGGCCAAACAAACTCAACCTTGATAAACTGCGGCAATTTATGGATAGATTGTTACTTGCTCGATCAGAATGGCTTCATCGTGATATCAGAAGCGCACAACGATACCGGTCAGTTCATGGGGACACAGGAGGGTGCAGTGATGAATTCCATGGTCGGCCAGGGTCTCTATGATCCTGTCGATATTTACGATTATCAAGCCTGGTGTGAGGAAGTTGTAAGTACTTGAACTTATAGTGTATTCTAGTAACCAAAACAATCATACCTTTTCTTCATTTCTGCTTTTATAAATTGTCATGTAACGATTAATTTCCATATGTAACGACAAGATTTTTCCGTAGTAAGACCTGGACAAATCTTATTTCCTTTCCATTTTCACCTTTTTCTCCTACCCTACTATACCCAGCATTCACAATCGTATAACGTATAAACTTCAAGTTTTCAAGTTCCATCACCGAGCGAGAGTTTGTTAAAAGCTCCGTATTTCGAGAAGCGTGCGAGTGTAAGGTAAAGTTTCGAAAAGAAGCCCAAGAAACAAGTAAAACAAATAATCGAAAAGTTCCTGGAAACTGTACGATTCCGTTCGCTCTTTGGCGACATATTTCTAATTCGTACCAAGTTCCACCGAAGAAAAAGTTCTCTCGCCGGGCGAAAGATAGCCGTAACTTGTTGTGGAACGTTTCGCAAACAAAATGAGAAACTCGGCCGAGACAAAAACAATCTCACGGGAACAAAACCGTATCCACAGCGCATCAGCGGTGCGGCCACCTCTCTGACGGACCCGCTGATGTACATCTGGAAACTGTTGCTCTGGTTTCTGTTACGTGTGACGTGGTTCACGACCCAGTTCGTGAACTTGCCAGTCGGTTATGCCAAAGTCCATTTCGATGAAGACGCCCCGGACCCGCCGCCCCCGCCTCGCCCTTGTCTCTATCATTATCCTTGCGACCAGAAAAGGGTACTTTATATGATGAACAACACGATCGCTGGCCAGGGCATCACGAATCATTCGGATTATTGTTCAAGGCCGTTCTATGCTCGTAGGGTCAGTGTCTTTCATTCTACCCTCGAGTGGAGTATACTTCGCCCATAAATTAATTTAAAACATGAAAAAATAAAACACGAATGATATGATTCGCAGGTCCCGCATACAAATTTATTATTGGTGGTCGTCGATGCTATGTATCCAACCTGTTACAAGAGATTAGAGGTAACACCGGTGACAATTTCTCCGCTTGAATACACGAACGGCTCGGAAAGCGCGCCTTGCCATAAAATTCCACTAAACGACCTTAAAAGGAGGCGTCTTGAGGGCTGCTTCACGGAGCACCCCTTGGAGTATGAGATCGAGGACTGCGGAGGGGCATCACAACTGACTGTATCTTTGCTATTATTTTCTACCGTTGTAGCTAGAATCTTATATACATTTATATAATTGTTTAAAACAAGAAGGTTATGGATTCGTTTGACGATATTGATTGCCTTGAGTACGATGCGAATTACAGTATATAAATGATATGATAATAGTAACGTTGATATTTATTGTGTCGAACCTTATAACTTCTTGCAAAAAAATAAAATTAAAAATTGAAACACGATTAAGATGAATTAATCTTATTAAAAAAAAACGTAAGATTGATGATTACTGTAACTTCGATAGCTATTCAGATTAGAAATATTCAGCTTGATGTTTTGTAAAGCAGACTATGTTCTTTTTTTTTTTGTGGACCAAAGACATCGAAGAACGAATCGATCGTAGCGAAGAAAAGAGAACATAAAGCCTGACGAAATATCTCCCTATCCATGCAAGATACGATTTTCTGTTGGCGTCGGAATGTCTGTTGATAGGGTGAAAGGAGCTTGCCCCAGAAAATGTTTTGTTCCCTCCTCCACTCGGATATTCAGATCATAACTCCTTCGCCAGCTTAATTGTAACTTTTTATTCCATTTTCTTATATCGAATAAAATTATACTCGTTAAAAATGGCTAATCAAAATTAATCAGTTTCTTCTTCAATCTTTTCCAATCAGTTTTTTTTTTCTATGTAGAAAAATTAATTATTCAACAATGCCTGTTTTAGAAAATCTTCCATTAACGCCAACTCATTGGATTCCTCATCTCCTCTTTCCTATCGCTAAACAAGATAAAAAATTCAAGGATGACGATTTCTTAAATCTCGACGATAACCATAACAGGTATTTTCTCAAATCAAACAATAGATTCACTAATCCTTTCGTTCTTAAACCAATCAATCATTATATTTTATCAACTCCGTCATATTCCTCATATTCCAAGAAATCTACGAAAATCTGTCAAATCAACGAAGAACTCGAACGTTCTCCCTGATTCTATAAATTTGCGAAAACATCAGCCACCCACAACAACTACGAGAATCGCCGCTACGAAAATCTTTGGGAAAACAAGGGCGGCCGAGCTCGAAGGTGACTTTTCCGAGAGACAAACATTATTATCAATTTCGTAAGGATGCTTATACGAACGGCGACGCGGCGTCGAGACTCGCCGACCGTTCCGACGCCTCTCTGCTCGTCATCGCGCGCAAGCTCCACGTCTCGCCGAACGATCGATAAACCATACTGGCGAGTACCGTGGTGTCCGGAGTGGAACGGTGCGCGCACTGCATGGCGACGACGTCGACGACGACGACGAGCACGACGACAACGACTACGGTCGGACCGGAGTATCCTTAATGTCAGACGCGAGTCTTCTCTCGGCCTCAGTTTTGTTTACCGTGTCCTCGCGTAAACACCGGAGCGCCGAAGAAGACGAGAGTTATGAGGCTCCGTTTCCTGCCTGCTATCGTCATCCTGATCCTGATCGAGGCACATGGTGACAACATATCGTCCGACAAGTAAGTTCGAAACGACTATTCATCCAGTAACTCGTACATGAGAAATTTTCCATTTTTTCCTTTTCCACGTTCGAATTTTATGTAGTTGATAGAACGGTTGGAATTGTCAGCAGTTTATTACGATTAGTCCACATGCGCAACCCTTGATATAATGAAAACGTGGATGTTGATACACGTTCCTCGTTGGTATGTTTGTATAGGTCGTCCCTTTGTAGTTTTAGCGAAGGTCGCTTGGAATAATTGGAGATTTTACAAGAGACGTAGAATGTTGAAAACGAGGAACGGTAGAGTTTATGGATTTCGTGTAACACGTTTATATTCTTTGTATTATCGGCATTTTGAAACATTTGATGACATTTGAGCATTGACAATTGATACTTAGATAGATAATTGTATAATTATTTACAAATTATATGGGTACCTTTAGATTTGACTTATTATTTCGTGCAGTTCTAAGAAATTTCTTGGAGTTCAATCTGTCTCCAATTGGTAAACCGTAATATTTTAAATACATCCACTGCTTACATAACGTTAAAATAATATAACATAACATTATGTTAGACTAGTAGTACACACTAGTAATGCGACCATTTGAAATTTATTCTCTGTACAGAGTGGGAACATGGGCAAAACAGTTAGGTTTCGAGTTGTCGCAGTTGGGCAAGTTTGTGACCAACGTGGACAAGTTCACCGAGAGCTACAAACAGGCAGCGGTGAAGCCACGTGATGGCACTGCTTTAGTCCACGAGATCGCTAAAGACATCAAAGCCATGATGGAATCGAAGATATCAGCTATTAAGGTACATAGTCTGATCTAACCAACCTAGAAATAAATTCTAACGCTACAAATTTATTTATAAAAAGCCTTTAATAATATAGATTATAACATCTGCGACAATTGGTCAGCTTTTAGGTAAAAATCATGCAATTCGTAAATGTCGTATTTATAATGTTACCATAGAGAATCATGGATGTCGCGGAAACATCAGCCTTATCCGCTCCAGATGCCGATCCTCCGGAGTCCTTCTTATATATCAACGCAAAGAACAACACGATCGATCTGAAACACAGTGCTCACTTCGGCGGTCAAGTCAATTTGACCATGTCGGCAGTTCACGTTCCGACGAATGTCTATGATCGAGCCTCTAACGTAATTAGAGCGATCAAATGGTCCGAGGAGTTGGATAAAACCTTCATCAACAACTACGAACAAGATCCTTCATTGTCTTGGCAATATTTTGGTAGCGCGACTGGTTTCATGAGACAGTATCCTGCGATGAACTGGTTGATGGAGCCTGTGGATTTGTTCGACTGCAGAACCAGAAGTTGGTACATCGAGGCAGCTACCAGTCCAAAAGACATTCTTATTCTTATAGATACTTCCGGTAGTATGACAGGGATCCGCAGAGAAATTGCTAGACACGTAGTGAATAATATTCTGGACACTCTTGGAAACAATGATTTTGTTAACATCATAACGTTCTCCAATGTTACGAAAGAGGTAATTGACACGGAAATGATCCTATATTAAGAGCGAACAGCTAGATTTTATAACAAGACAAATATGAGTACTAACTCATCGATCGATAACTATATCGATCATATTTATGATAACCAGTTATGGAATCAGTGAAAAATGGTATTCCAGGTGGTGCCATGTTTCAACGACACCTTGGTACAAGCTAATTTAGCGAACGTGAGGGAATTAAAGAGAGCTATCATGAATCTAGACACGGAGAAGATTGCGAATTTTTCCCTGGCCTTGACCACCGCATTCGAGCTCCTCGGAACCTACCGAACCGAGAGGGAAGGAGCCAGGTGCAACCAAGCGATTATGCTGATAACAGACGGCGTTCCTTATAACTACAAGGAGATCTTCGAGACATACAACTGGGAAGATAATTCCAACGAACCCTTTAAAGCTGATATGCCTGTCAGAATGTTCACTTATCTGATTGGCAGAGAAGTGGCAGACGTAAAGGAGGTGCAGTGGATGGCCTGTGCTAACAGAGGTTACTTCGTGCATCTCTGCACCTTGGCTGAAGTGAGGGAAGAGGTATATTTAATTATTTTATACTTTAAATTGATCGGTATTTATATTTCAGTTTAGTTTATATATCAATTGGGTGAATTAATTAACAAATTGTCGTCTTTAGGTCCTTAAATATGTTCCTGTAATGGCAAGACCATTGGTTCTCGGTCGTACGGATCATCCAACGATCTGGACTCCAGTCTACGCCGACGTGACAGATCCAAAGATGACCGATTGGTTGTGGGAGCAAAGAGAAAGCGAAGAACAGAAAGAGAGATTCCTCATGCTTCACAGCAGGAGAAGATTCTTCAATGCCGAGGAACGAGATCGCAGATTCGTGAAAAAGCAGAAGAAATCGCACGACCAGAGCGGCGATCTTCAGGAATACAGGCTAATGACTTCGGTTAGCATGCCGGTGTTCGACCGACGAGAGAACGCGGTAAGATCTTCCTTCCTTATACGATTCAATTGAAGCAACTAATTCTCTAGAAACGTGCTAGGACACGTCGTAACTGTTACGTTAGATTCTCTGCATATATTCTTACAAAAAATTATATTCCGTCTCGGATGGTGAAGATTGATATGAAAAATTTCGAAATTCAAGTATACCCGATGCAATTACATATATGCAATTACATGCAACGTCACATGATGCAATATCCATGGTGCATAAATAAAAGATTCAGCTTTAGGTATCATTAAAAATATCCTGGAACCTGTGTTATTACATATCGAGAATAGATTAACGTCCCTGTCGCTGTATGCAGATTATCATTAACCCCGTTCTATTAATAATTATTTACGGTGATATACACCTATTATACCTGTGTATACATTGATTTGTAAGAATTCGAACATCAATCAATTAGTCGATCACGCCACGATCAAATGGGCGATTCTCAGGTTTTCTTTGTGATTATGTATATTATTGAATGAAATGAAATTAACGATGGTGGTATTATCGAGACACTCGAGCAAGCAGGCATTCACAATCATCGCTCTCCCCATGATAACCCCTTTTCACTCCACTGCCTTCGTTCGATCGATCAGACGATATCAACACGTGTCGTATTACCCTCTTTATTCGTTGACGGATAAACGTTTAATCGCGCAAATCACCTCCGCAATGAGTGCATTTTTTCCTTTGGTTTTAAGTTCCTGTTTGTCCACAGAACATCACAAGGCAGGTGCTGGTGAACGAAGCATACTGGGTGACAGAGACAAGAGAGGTTGGCAGCTAAACAAAAAACACAAGCAACGTTGTTTCAATGCATAGAACCCTGTACCCATCCTTTCACCTTATTGTATTCAAGTACGCGACTTGGTCCTTTCTGGTCTCCACGTTTACCAATGGAAAATTTATCTGCCTGATCTAGAGCTCTTCTTAATAGCAATGGACAATTATTTTATTTTGTAATGTCGACGACGAAACCTATATTTTACTGTAAGATAATGTAAATTAAGGAAATAGCAATTTTTTTAAACGAGACGTGGATATCCAGGGATGAAATCGATGTCGCGTAACAATCTTTCGTTACATTTAGGTCTACGTTCGTCTCTCTGGTATCTTACTTTGGTCTAACATTAGTATTGGACTTAGTTTAATCATTAGGTAGGTTTAGGTACTTTAGTCTACCCTGTGCCCTGTTCGAGACG